TCTAGAAGCAGTTTCTGATAACCTTTCATGTGCTTGCAATTGGACTAGATGGGGGTAACAAAATATCAAAGACATTCACACTGCAGTTTAGGAAAAAGTAGCACTTAGGAAAGTGTTAGAGTAGGTATTAAAAAATCCAAGTGAATCAAGCCACTAAGTAGTGCTTCTTCAGAATACAGACGAAGCACAGTTGCAGCTAAGATAGAAAAAACCTCATTTTAACTATACACAGACTTGTAGGGGTCCCATCACATTTTCTGAGAAAAGGTATTTGTTATGTTTCAAAGCCCTACTGTGAGCAGTTGAGTTCTGAGGGGAGGAAGACTTGGGGAATGGCCCCTGTGATGGGGAATGGCAACTTCAGATCATGCCTTTGCCTTGACAGAACTGCTCCCCAATGGCAGGGCCAAGTCATAGGGATCATGACAGCCGTAGAATTTCCCATCATAAATAATCTCCAGGTAAATCCTCTGAAAAAACAAATATACAATTCAGAATCTGTACAAGCTTTCATGATGGATCTCCCAAAGTGCTCTGTCATTCACAGTTCATTCTTTTGGTGAATACTGACTATGCCTCTGCTACAGGCCAGGCACCGGAAATGAGGGAATGGGGCCCAGTTCCTGCCTTCATGGGGCTAGCATCCCAATGGGTGAGTGGCTTCCTCACCCCATCAAAGAGCTGGCTCCCCTGTGATTCCACTCCCTGTCAGCCTCCTCGGTTGCCTTTTTCATGGACACCCCAAAACACAGACACAGATGGAAGAAAGGGAATTAGGATCTTACTCTAAGAATCAAGCACAGGATGGTGCAGTGTAGTCACAGGAACAGGTACGCTTGGATGCAAATAACTTTCAACTTTTGGTTCATTTAAGGATGAGAGTAAAAGATTTCCAGGAGGTGCACATCACTCTGAAGCATATTCCTTTAGCATATCCTCTTTCTCCCTCTGCTTTCTTCACTTTGCCTCACTCTCCCCCTCTAGCTAGCGGTCATTCTCTCTCTCTCTCTCTCTCTCTCACACACACACACACACACACACAAATACTCCACCCTTTCAAATACCCAAAGACATACACACAAATACACAATCTATGCAAAGCTACCCAAATATACTAATCCACACATGATGGAGAACCCAGGCATGCCCACACAAAGGAACATATTTTCAAGGACACATCAACACTCCCAAACATATCTGTTTTCACACCTTACATTCTCTTATATAGGAGAATGGCCACAAAGACAAGCAAAAGCACACATGACAGTCGCTTTCTAACATAGGTTGTGATATTCAGGCCAGCTGCCCCCATAGCTGTTCTCCCCACTGTTTCTCTAAGGTTCTGAAGATTAAACAGTTGGTAGCCAACTTTGTATACATGCCTGTAAACAAGAGGGCTCCGCTTTAAATAATTATGTCAAAGAAATGACAACTGTGCTCTTTGCCAGAACAGGGATGAATAATTACAAAGCCAGGACATAATTAAGCAATTCTGACTGTCGGATTTTTGAGCTGTCTCTCTGATGTGCAGGGCTGGTGTGCCTGCCGCCCATGCCCTCCTGGACGGGCCTCTGCACGCCTTTGATCTAGGTTTCCCAGTGCAGCCAGGGTGGGGTCATGGTCTGGTCATTACAGAAGTCTTTCAGGGGGGGCCTCACACTTCTCTGTATCCAGCTGGATGCTCTCTGTGTTGACAATGGTACAATTCAATGGTCAATATTTAACAAGATATAATTTCTTTAAAATTCTGGAAAATGAGCAACTCTTAGATGTTGCAGGTCCATTAACTAATCACACACACGTGCCTGCGTGAGACTCCAGGAGAGCCTGTTGTCACATTACCCATCACTTCCTAATGAATGACAACACCTTTCTGTAGAACAACAACAAAAATACAACAAAAGCCAAAAGGCAGCGATGAAGGAAGAACCGTGTCATCGGAAGAGAGAAGAAGAGAGTCCTTGCTCTCAAGTGCCAGGGCCTGCCAGGTGCCCAATCAAACCTTGGTGACACGGGGTTTATTAGTTCCTGGCTGATTTTGCATTTGCGTCAGCCGAGAACACCCAGCCTGCCGTTCCCTACCTCCGAGGCAAGGGTTGCAACTGGAGAGGCATTTTCCATTCTCCCAAATACTTTATGTCAGGAATAAAATGAAAACAGCTCCCCAAATCACGGCCCCCTTGATCATCCATCAGCACATTCTGCTGAATAAGCACAACAGGCCGCTGCCATCTCCGAAAGGACAGAGCCAACTTGAGATTCAGATTCCTTTAAGAAAAATAGGTCTTTGCCACGTGTGCTCTGCACAGTCTCGGCAACTCACAGGGAGGAAATTGTTCTTCTCTTAGAAGCCGACTCTGGGTGTACACATGCCTCCCTGAGCATACATATGCATATGTGCACAGAGACAGACTGTGGCTATACACATGTGCCTAGGAACAGAGAGAACACACTGTGAAGAGGTGAGGACCAGCCTTTTTCAGGCAATTTATTAATTCAGCAAGGAGCTCTTTCTCTCACTGTGGATCTCTGAAAACAACAGGGAATCTCCTGTCACTCAAGAGGCATGCGGTGTGATGCAAAACCACTAACACTGAATCTGCTTGTGCTCTCCAAGGGGCATGGTGGAAATAGAACACCTAACCAGAAGCCCAAGACCCCGGGTCTGGTCCCAGAGGTGCCTCTTCAGGACTGTAGGGCCTGCTCCCATCACTGCTTCCTGTCCCAGGTCCCACATCCACGAAATGAGAAAGTCAGCTGAGTGATTTCTAAAGTCCTCTCTGGTTTGGAAGTCATATGACACTACAAAAAGGGAACCAGAGGTCTCCACACGTAGATTTTTGTCTCTCTCTTCAAACAATTAACTGGCATTTTTGAAGTTTAGTAAGGATTTTAGGGTCAATCACACAAACATGAGCCAATTCTATAATTGATTAGAAACTAATTGGGAACACTGAAGCTGCTAATGCCTCTGAGAAATAGCTAAAGCCAGATTTGAAGAAACCATTCCCAGTCACTCTCAAAGGCAGGAGAGGATTCCAATTCCCTCCACCCCTATTTTACAGAACAAAAAAAGTCCTACTTTTATCTGTTTTCTTCATTTAGGCCTTCCTGTGAAGTTTTGTTTGAACAAAGAGATCCACAGGGGGAAATGTTTAGCTCACTGCTCGGGGTAAGAAAACAGCGAGACAGGTCAACTTCAGGGCTAGCAATTCCTAGCCAGGTGACCTGGGGAAGCCCCGCGAACTTCTCTGGGCCTGATTTCCCTCATCTGTAAGAGGGAGCAAATGGCCCCTCTCTCCTACCTTAACAGGGTTACATGGAGTTCCACAAACCTATAGACAAAGATCCCTGGAACAGGGTAGGCACACACTGAACACCCCATTCAAGCACAGTGGATGCTCCATTTATTACTCCTCGGATTTCCAATGATAATGTAGAGCTTCCCACGCCAAAGGCAAATGACAGCAGGAGAAATCCTGGTCTCCTCTGTATGGTGTGCACATGAAAGTGGGAAATGTAGGGCAGGCAGGTTAGGACCCAAAATATTACAAAGAGTTCATGTGCTATACTTCGCTGGAGTCAGCTATCTGTGGAATATTTTCATGGAAGGAAGAAAGGAAGGAAGGAAAGAAAGAAGGGAGGGAGGGAGAGAGGGAAGGAAGGAGGCCAAGAAATAAATTCTTTCATTTGGACAAAATTACAAAAGCTGGAATAACTAAAGGCAGTCATGGGCAATATGTCAAATCTGTGCCTCAATAAGGAGAACTGTTAACACTTTAATAGCTATGAAATGAATCACTCGATTAATTTCCCACATGCTGAAACAGGTAACAATACATTTATCTGCCAGTATTATACCCTCCGTATCATATATTTCCACAACTGTTAGCAATTTTATTCAGCATAACGGGAAATCAGTTGCACCTCATGGATTCAGGGAAGGAAAGTGGCCTGAGGTCTGCTGCCAACTGAGCAACGTGATGGAAGAGGTTTCGTTATTCTGCTCTGGTTGGGTTTTGTTTGTTTTTTCTTTCTCCCCCTTAATCACTTGCAAGACATGTACGGAGGGCCATAAGTCAATAAGTGAGGACAAACTAGACCTCTAGGGTTTCTGTGCTGGTGTTTTCAACACACAAACTACAATCTCATGGGAGGTGACTATATAGCTCCATAGAACTCCAGGGTGTTGATGGTTCTCCAAATGGGTCATCAGAGGTCATTGTGTCCATTCCCCAGACTCTGTTTTCATGAAAGGACCCAAACTCTTCCAAAAGAGATCATTGTACATGCCTTCAAGAAAATATCCATGTGTCTGAACCCAAAACCCCAAGCCTAATCTCCCCTGCCTCATAGAAACAGCCATTAGGATGTCACGTACATGGCCTCCCTACAGACTCAGCTGGTAAAGGAAAGGTCAGCAAACTCCATCTGATGACCTCTGGAGAGCTACACATGGTGAGCCCACGCCAGCCCCAGGACATGTCGTCAGAAAGCATCACCTTCTGTGCTAACAGTTTCTCAGGAGCTGCAGAGTTCGCTCCTGTCATGGAAGGAGATCACTCATTGTTAGCTCCCCTTTGGCTGCAAGAAAGAAGAACTTGCTCTGGAGGATTGTAGGGATCCTTCCCACGCCAGAAATAGGCAAATTCCAATGCTTCCTTCTTTCTTAGCTCCAGACCTATAGAGGCCCCACTATGGAAACTTTGGAAGGTGGCCTAAAATGCACCCTCAGATTTCCCTCTGAGCTGCATATGGTACTGCTTTATTAGTTGAGATCATTTTATAAATAAGGCCCCCTTACACTGGATCCCAGGGAGACCCAATGTATATCCAACGCCATTTCACATTTGGCCCAAAGTGCATGGATGGATGAATCCCTGGTGTGAGATCCAGCCTGTATTCTAAACTCCACAGGAGGATGTTATTCCATGCTCTGGAGGGTGACCAGTGCCCTGATATATAAATCCCTCATGAAGAACAGTGAGTAGGTAGCTCACCTTGGGCTTCACCACCTTCATGAAGGCCCCTCTGACCAATGCCTCTTTTCTTTCTTGTCTGGTTACTTTCCGGGCATCCAGAAACTTCAAGTTAGGCAGCTTGTGCAGAACAAAGCATCTGGAAGAGAAGAGTCAGAAAAGACTCAGGAAGGGAGGGGGCTAAGACTCCAGAACCAGGCAATTAGAACCAGAACCAGCCTTAGGAATCTACCAGTATGTCTTCAGCGATTTAGATCTCAGCTGCTAAATCACCTCTCATCTTTCACAAAGTATGAACAATCATTCAAATAGTTCTATCTTAGAAACAAGACAATTTAAGAGACACACGGTAATGACTGTACTTCACTTGAAGGTAGACACACGCCCCTTACCTGAATCAGCCATTAGGACCTTATCAATATACTCCCCTTCTTTCATTCTGGAAAGTGAACCCAGCTGCTTGCTGCACAGGGAGCTCCCAGTAAAATCAAGCTACACCTTGATTGTACCATTTATGTCACCACCTTTCCTGAGAGTCCTCTGCATCAGTCTCATCTCTGAGACGATAACATGTCTTAAATGTGGAGCTCAGACACAAGACCTTTATTTTCCATCCAGACAATCAACAAGAATGTAATAACCAGGACAGCCATGGGAAAAGTAAGGAACAGGTGCAGATGAGAAATGCTTCCTCAAGGACACAGACAGGGATCCTGAGGACATTTGCTCTCATCATCACTGGGTTATAGCCACACTGGCACTACGAAGATTATCAAGGAGAAGCAAGGAGAGTTGCTTTCAAGAGGATATTAATAGCCCAACAACTGCTTGGTGGCCTCTCTTCCCTTTGCAAAGATGCTTTGGTATTCATTATGGACTGCAGGAATAAGCCAGTGGCAATGTGGGTGATGAACTCTCCTTAAGTGATATAGGTAGGGAGTTTACAAGAAGATAGAATCTAGACACCTGTCTATACTTTTCCCACATCAATGAGTTACCAAACCAGATGCTTTCCATCAAGTTCCCATGCTCCATCAATCAAACAAGCAAGTGTTTAGACTCTATCCTGCTTAAGTAGAAGAGGTGAGTAGCCAAGTCAAGAGCAATGGATTAGCTCCAAAGGAATCTGTCACTTCCTTTCTGCACCAACCACCTCAGTACTCACCCATCATCAAGCTACAACCTCCACAAAAGTTACTTCTTCACCTCTAGCCCACATCCCTTTCTTCTCCCTCAGCTTTCCTAGAATACACTGTCAATACCATACTTCTTATTTTCTTGGTGTTCATTGATGTCCTTACCCAAACTATAAGCTTCTTGAAGGCAGGGACAAATTTCTTTGTTTACCCTCACCATCTCTTAAAAACTCACATTTGAACAGATTCATTAACATAACCCTTCATCCTAGTTTCCATATATTTCTTGAGCATCTACTATGTGCCAGGTGCTAGCGATAAGGAGGAGATAATGATATGGTTCCCGCTATCAAAGAGGTTTTTAGTGTAATGGGGAAGATAAATTCATACAGAGAAATGAGAAATCAATGTAGCTAAGTGCCAGAGGGTATAACCAGAGCAGTTACAAAGAGGCCTGCAATATTCTCTGAATAACTGAAATCTAAGGGGGAAAGAAGGGACAGAAAATCTCAAACAGACTTCAAAGAACCAAATCCACAAGCACTTAGCCTTTTGGAAGCAGAGTTGCCTGGGGTATGCAATGAGCCTGGGGTTCCCAGAGTCACTGCCCACCTTCTCAAGGTGATCTATCTCCAAGTGCCCTTCATATATTTGTCCAGATTAAAGACCTGAGGGATCACTCAAAAGCCAGAGATAACAGTTTAAAAGCCTCCAGTGACAGCCTTCATGTTCCTCATTGTCCAAGTCAGAACAGCGCAAAACTTCTTTGGGGAGGCTTTTCCTCTGGCGCACTGTCCACCCCAAAGCCTGAGGGCCTGGACTCCCTCCTTCCTGCTTTCTCCCTGGCCTCCATCTATCACCCCCTTTCCTGTCTCTCCCTAAGCCTCTCTCTCTCCAAATGCCCACCTAACCGCCTCCAAAATCAGGAAAGTATGCCCAAGGGCCCCAATGTCCTCTCTCTTCCTCAGTAGAATCCCCACCGGCCTCACACTGTCAGAGAAAACTTCCATCTTCTGCTTGTAGCGGCAAAGTCTCGATGACAACAGAGTCTTTCAAATAAAGACATGTTCAGACAGCAACAATATGTCAGGAGTGACGCTCCAAGGAGTAAAGACACCCACTAAGTGTAGGGTGGGAAAAGATGAATATTCAGGTGAAGAAAACATCAGTATTAGAAAATCAGCCAATGTTTAATGATGGAGTGAAAGATGCCTTCACGGGGCTGGCAGGAACCTCGATGACAACAGACCGCACATTGTCATTTCGCCTCACTTTGGATCACAGCCCTGAAATCAAAGGAGAAAGACAGAGAGAGGTGCTGGCTTTTAAGCTAGTTAGAAATTTTAGATGACAAAGAGCTGCTGTTTTCTGAGTGCTCTTCTCATACAAGCGAAGAGACAGCCCATGTCGCAGGCTGCCAGTCACCCCCGGAGCTCAGGGTGAGTGGACTCCCACCTCGTGGGGCCAGACTGGGCTTCCAGGGGGTCGCTGCTCAGAGAGGTCTGGGGACACTGGGGAGACTCACTGCCAAGAGTGGGGTGTGAGGCTCAGCCCAGGGTGCAAAGTGCCTCTGCTAGAGGTGCCTTCTTCCATTCACTCACACAGTCAACAAATAATTATAGAGCATCTACCACCTGCCAGGAGCTGCTGAGGAAAAAAAAATGTGATGAACACAACAGAAGGTTTCTGCTCTCAATGAGCTTATGTTCTAGCACAGCAGTTCTCGACTTTGAGCAGGCATCAGCAGCCCCCGGAGGCTTGTTAAAACACACGTTGCTGCACCCCATCCCCAGAGTTTCTGATTCAGGAGGTTTGGAGTGGGGCCTGGAATTTGTGTTTCTAATAAGTTCCCAGGTGATGCTGCTGCTGCTGTCCTGCTGAGCACCAATGTCCTCGTGAAAATAACAGCATGGGAATTATGAGCATGGTGAGACGGCCCGCGGTCTCCTTCCCAGGTCCCGCTAGCAATCCACCCTGGCCCAGTGTCTGTGGTTCGCACAGCTCAGACAGTGGCCTGGTCTACCACCTCCTCCTGCCCCATGATGGCTCAGCTCTGGCTCCACACATTATTGCCAAGTGATAAGTCAGTGGGCTTCCTGCCTGCCTGTCCCATCCTGATCTTGGGAGATCTATTTCCCTTTGTTCTGGGTCATGACAGGGTGTCAAAAGGCGCAGCTTCAATCCTGAGTGTAATACAAGTTTGCCATAAAAATACAAGAGAGGATTCCCGAAGCCACAGAATGAAGGCTTTTACAATATCAATTCAACCCTTGTAAATTTAATCCAGGGTTATTTGTTGCACCAAAATCTCTTTACTGTGATGTATTACTTAGTTACTGGGGTTATCACAGCCGTATCCTAAAGTTGCATAGTACATAAAACATTTCAGTTAACAATGCGGGAAGGTTAACTCCCCCAGATAACCTGCAATCACAAGGGCTAGTCCAGATGACGTCCCTCTGTCAGCTTCCGAGAGCTATTGATGGTTCAATCAGTTTGTTTTGAAGGTAAAGTACAACAAAAGGGCAGTAAACTTATTCAGACTGTCAACAGGGGCTATCGGGAATGGGGCTTGCAGGTAAGTAATTCTGGGTGTTTTAAGGCTATTATCAAACAGCAATGGTTGAAGGAAGAGACAGCTACTAATAACACAGAAGGCAGCCATCATAAACCACTTTATGGCAGAAACCTCCGTCTATAAATCCTGCGACACCCGGAGACAGCTTCAGATTTATAAAACTGCTTGTTAAGCCGGGGCACTGCTTAATGAAAAGAGATCCGTCTAAGTTCCAAGTCTCACGTCCAGAGCTCCAGAGGGCGACTCCAATTTTCCTGACCTTCTCAAGGTGGCTGGGGGGAAGCCCCTAGGGCTGGGGTGGTGGGAGTTGGAGCCACTCCTGGCTGTGATATGGAAGGTGAGGTTATCAAAAGGAGAGCAGGGGGCCCTGGGAAGGTGTTTAAACACCCATATGTCTCTGTCTGAAAAGAGATTTCTCAAAAGTGAGAGACCAGCACCCAGAGCTTTCCAGGTACTCTCTCTTTTCATGAAGAATATTCCATTTTTTTAAAGGACTCCTCTAAGGAGAGAGGAAGATTGGAATGGGGAGAAAAGATACATCTGGAAAGCTTTTTGTTTCTCTTTGTTTTGCACCAAAAATCAACTTTTTTTTTTTCTGCTCCAATCCCAGTGCTCTGGCATTTTTCACGTAGACCTCAAAGAGAGAGAGAGAGACGATCTTTCCTCCTACCACAACTTACTACCCCAGGAAGAGAGTATAGTCACAGAAAAACCGTGATGGGTCTCCAGTATCTGCAGTATTGAGTGGGGATGGCCACCATGTTTCTTTCTCTGACATTCTATTCAAGAAATACCAAATTTCCAGGTGTTTTTTTTATTTGTTTGTTTTCCCTCTGGTATTGAGAATTGAATTCACTGGACTACATTCCCAGCCCTTTTAAAAATTGTTTTTAAATTTTAAGACAGGGTCTCTCCATGTTGCTGAGGGTCTTGCTAAGTTGCTGAGGCTGGCCTCCAACTCATAATCTTTCTGGCCCAGCCTCCCCAGTCTCTGGGATTACAGGTATGTGTCACCACACCCAGCTCTAAGCTTCTAGCTCTTACAGGGGCCAGGCTTGGGGTTCCTGGGCACATGTTCTATTTTTTCCCACTTAGGGCATCCTACACTTCCCCTTGCACAGTGAATTGGGAGACAGAGCAGAAGCTACAAATGCACAACCTGGGCTCCAAAAGGCAGCCACAGGGGACCCAACAACTGTTTCTAACCCTTCACAAAGCACAACAGAACTGGGCAAGGATGCTAGCAAAATGTGGCACTTCTTTGCTGCTGTCTTAATGACATCCACTCCATTTAGTAACACAGGCTATCTCCTTCTGATCAAAAGCACTGATCAGCCGCTAAATATGTCTCATTAATAAAAGAAAAAGTGTTAGCAATGGCTTATATGCTGCTTATTTGAAAGACCAAGGCTTTTGAAAGGGGGA